AAATGTTTTCTTCCATAAACTCATTAACCTCTTCACTAATGTTACATTTTCAATCCTATCTCTGTGCTCTAAACACTGCACAAACCCATTCCAGATATGTGATAGATTCCTTTCACTCCTTAGTTCAATCCTCCAAACACCACAAATACTTTTTATCTTTAACCTGTAGAAATAAAGATGAAAAAAAATGTTTCAGATCTCCTATAGAAGAAGGTGATATTAGTAGGAAGAGGACAAACGAGAGAGATTGGAAAGAAATGTTTTTTTTTGGGGGGGGCAGGGGGGGTGAGAGAAGGGAGGGAGATAATAATATTAGAGTAAGAAGGGTGTAAAAGACAATTACTTAAGAGGTCAAAGGGGTGAGAAAAAATTTTCTAGCCAGAAAATTCATCGCCAACGAGTTTTTGTACATATTTGCCCACTTTAACACACTTTAAATAAGAAAAAGATGTTGGACCATTTTTAAATATCAAAGTGAATTTTTGTGTCTATTTTAAATACTAATATGACAGTTTAGCTGATAAAAAAGGCCTAAATAAGATAGGAGATAGAAGTAGGGTAATGTAGAAGACAGGAGTAGGGTAATTTAGAAGACATAAAGTATGCAAGGAAAAATTTGTCCAAAATTTCTTATTCGTTGTGGCAACTTAACCTAATTGTCACTAGACATGATAGTTTGCAGAAAAAAGTTCATGGCAGTTATGTGCAGAATGTCCAAGATTTCATAGTAGTTTTGTGTCATTTGCCAGAAACAAAAAAGAAAATCCATTGCAGAAAGAAGTTTCCTTACTGACACTAGTTGAGTTACCATAGCCCTACCCTAGCGCGCACGTGAGGGGAGGGGAGGGGGGGGGGGTGGGACTGCTTCAACAAAAGGTGATGTCAAAGGATGTTCAACCATTAGGCCACCCGCAACATAAAGCACATCACCCTCCTTTATCTGAACATGATCCAACATAAAAAAAAATTCATTAGATGGAAGGAGGGGAAGATGTTAAGTATTGTTAATGATAATTTGAGGGGATGTAACATTTTCACTATAAAACCAAATTAAATAAGATTAGGGATACTGCTATTTACCAGATTCTCGATGATCTCATCAGGTATCTTGTGAAAATATATCTGCAAATCCACAAGTATTTTCATACTGTTTTAAAATCGTCAATGTTAGGAGAGCTTAACATGCACGTAATAGCAAAATCTATGACTCCAAAACTGTTAAAATTTAGCAAAATTTGTGAGAGGGAAAATGTATTTATTATGTGTCGCAAAGACACGAGTTGGATCAAATGTCCCCCAAAAAAGATATATAGTGAGTGAAAACAGTACCTCAGCTTTATCCCATCCTTCTTTTCTAACACCTGTCTTTAAATTGGTAACAAGTATCGAGCCTACTGTTGACGCATGACCCCCAGAGTAACCTGGAAACAAGTTATTACAAGATTGTAGACATCTAGGCAAAATCTTTTATACGAGGTGTGGGAAAAACACTCTTGATCTAACCTTTGATAAATGCTCGTGCTTCTTCTGCACCTGATGGCTTCTCCCTTATCATCCCACCATGTACTACAACCTAAACCGCACTTGTACTCAGAACTAAAATAACGCTCAGAGGAAAGGAGTATATGCAAGTTCATTTTCAAATTTGAAATAGATTGAATTAGTTGCTTAATCAAATTAGACAACCAAACATGTTAACATTACACGAAGGCACAGGGATCTTGGTTTTCATTTACAAAGAATGAAAAAAAGTAAATAAAGTTCTTAAAAGCACAAGATTGTTCTTCTCATGTTGGCAGAGATTCTTATGGATGTTGGAATATGATGGGATCAGTACATCCATCTCCAAATAAATTAATCATGTTCTTATTATAAGCATACTTTAAATCATCTTATTGAAAACATATTAAGAATCGTTGAAATCATGATTACCGCAACTTGAAGTAGTAATTGGTTGGTCAATAGTCTAGTGTTACAATTAAGTTCCTAGATCGTGAACCACCTCAACTTTCTTGCATGTCTAGCTTGATGACTTTGCTTGAAGATTATAATACATAGGACACAAATGGGCATGTGTCTGAAGTAATAGGAGACATAAATGGGCAAGGTAATCAATAACTAAATAGTCATTACATGGGCATGTGGAATAAAGAGTTCAAAATGCTTTAGCAAGGCAGGAGATGATAATGTGCATCATGATTAGCAACTTCTTCTATAACTTGTCTTACATATTTGACCTAAATTGCAAGACATTACATTACATCTAGAACTGTATCCCCCACAGAATATTTCGTTTAAGAGTATTTAAAATCCATTAGATTGAAAAAATCATGTTGTCAAACTAACCATAATTATTGTCAAGAGATACTCAGAAGCTAAACATGAGCGGAAAAAATGGTGCCTCTTAAACCCTACATGGCATCTGCTTATCTGTGAATATATGCAGAGATTAAAAAGTTACTGGGACACCTGGCTTGGTGGTAAATTGGAAGATTGGTTTATTGAAGGTCCTCAGTTAAAGAGCGGATACAGCCTTTGTAAAAGTAGTTAGACCTATGTAGATTATAAACTACTAAATACTTGTGCTTGATACAAAAAATAAAGAAGTCCAGCACGACTATCTGCCTGAGTCAGTTAAAGCTGGCATTTCTTATTTTTACTAACAGAGAAACCTCTTGTTGCAGCCCTAGGGAGGAGCTCTTGTTTTCAATAAAAATCTAAAACAAAGTAACAATTAACTAAAAATTTAATAAGATACAATTACACAACAGAGTTATAAAAAGCGGCCTACCGCCTAGGCGTGACGGAGCTCTGGCCGCTCAGAAATGACCTGAGCAGCCAGCTTAGGCGTTGTTCACGCCTAGGTTGAAAAAATCTCTCTCTCTCTCTCTCTCTCTCTCTCTGACTTCCGCCACACCCATCAAAACCCTAGCCGCTTCTCCTCCCTCTACCTGATCCCCCTTCTGGCGCTCCTCCTCACTCTCCGCCCTCATACCCCTCAGGCGCTTCTCATCCCCCTCTCCGTCTCCCTTTCCGGCGTTCCTCTCTCCAATGCCCCCCTCCGGTGCTAGCGCTACCTCCTCCCCTTACCTCTCCTTCTCCGCCCACCTACGGCTAGTCTTTCACCTCTCCTCCCTCTATTGAAGGCAATTTTTATTTTGTTATTTTCCACTGTTTTTTATTTTATTCACTGTTTTTGTTGAAAAGCCTTTTAATGCATTGTTAGTAGTTGAATTAAGTTTGATTCTATTGATTATTGAAAGTAATTGTTAATTTTCTACTATTTTCCCGCTGTTTTTTAATTTTATTCATTGGTTTTGTATTTTTATTCATTGTTTTTGTTATTTCTTAGTATAATTAGTTAAGTTTATATAATTTTAGGTTAATTATTGACTTTAATTCACTGTTAACTAGTTGATTAATTATTTTAGGTGGCTTGTTAGAGTTTACTAATTACTAGCCTAATATTGAATTTAATTCACTTTCATTCATTGTTAAGTTTCTAGGAATTTTATTAATGTTTTGTGAATTCTTATAATTAAATAAATTTAAAAAAATAGGCAAACGCTTAGGTGCTAGGCCCTGACTCAAGCGCCTAGTCTGCCTAGTACTTTTTGTAACATTGTTACACACAGCTTCTCTAGCTCCTTCTACTCTTAGGTTACAACATCACATAATTTAACTATTATCGGGCGAGATTAATCTCAAACTACAGAGAGCAATAAAAGTTAATGAAACTATTTACATAAAATTACATAGATGTCACTTTAGATTTAACTGTAATTGCTGAGTTATTTCTCAAGATAAAGAAAGAACTAAGGGTAAATTTCACAAAACCCCCCAAAAGTTTGGTCCATTTTGATGTAAGCCCCAAAAGTTTACAAATGTCACCTACCCCAAAACTTTTGCAATTTTGTGAATCCATTTTCAGATAAACTTCAACTTCTTGCGATTTTTGGGGGTTAGGCTACCTTTTTTTGTAAGGAAACATAAGAATTTTTTTTTGCTCAAACACTAAGAATTACAGCCAATAGCCAAGCATGCCAGCTTATACACTAGGCAACAAGACCCTGTTAAGATACAGGAACTCTACACTCAATCTTCAACTTAAGCAATCAGAAATACAAAGCTTAACAACATGTTGAGGATTACCATTTTCTAGTCTATATTATCTTGAATTTCTTTCATGCCATTTTCTACACATGTTAGCTATCAACAAACACCTTCTATATCAATTCTCATTTCTTTTCCCCTTCACTAGATTATGAAACTTGATGACAAACTGAGGCTGTTCCCTAACCGATGCTCTCAACCTCATTTCCTGTTATATAGCAGGACTTACTTCTTGAGAGTAAGAACATTGAAAAGAACATACCTCTAAGGGGTTAAGTGAAGTTTCCAAACTTTTTGCAGGTTATCTCGAAAAGGGCCAAACTTCTTGTGAGTTTTGTGAAAACTAAAACATGTTCTTGTTCTTGTTAAGTACAGATTTTAGTTAAACCTTAAAATTCATAAGGGGTACAAATTAATCACAATGAGCTCCATTTCACTCAAGACCTTAAACTATAATTCTAAAACTACTTTCAATTGAATAGAAATGTGCAACTTTTTAAATGATTAACAAAATTTTACTACTAGAAAAAATCTTGATAGTTTGAGGAATATTATAGTTAAAAAATTAGTATTACTTAGCAAAGTAACTAAAATCAAAGAACAAGTGCGCTGGAGCAAGAACATACTTGATCAGCAGTTATCAATAGAGTGGGTTCAGCCTCATCCTTTGTAAAGTCACTCATTTGAAGCCTCCCCATAATCGCATCTGCCTAATTGCACAAAAATATATTAAAAATTTTACAAAAATAATTATTAAAAATAAGCACTCAACATGCAATCACCGAGTACCTTAGCTTCAGCGAGAGCCATTACCAATTCCTCAGGCTTTTCCATCCGGATCTCTTTCTCATCAATATCCGCACTCTAAACCCAAAGCCCAAATCATTTTTATTTTTAAATTTTTTTGAGGAAAAAAAAGGATTGCACAGAGAGAGAGAGAGAGAGGGAGAGAGTACCATGATGGTGAAATTGAATCCCATATCGGATAAAATTCGTCGGCGAGAAGCCGATGAAGAACCCAATATTATCTGCATAATATTTTTTTCAAAAAATGAGAAAATAGCTAAAATAAATAAGTAAATTAGAAAATAGCAGCGAAAACTGACCTTGAAAGAGGAAGAGTTTAGGGACATTTTTTTCCTGTTCTTTGTTCGGTGGCTTCCGTGAAGCCCAAGAGTTGGGGAACTAAGATGGTTTCGGGTTGGTGGATATTGTCATTTCAAGCAAATAAAACCCGATAAACCGACTGAAAAGTTGCGATTGGATCTGAATTAGTAACAAACTAACAATCCGAATGAGTAAGGAACCAAATGCTCATTGGGTCGGGTTTGGATTAATCATAGTCTAGCCACAATAAAGGCCGAGGCACGATACTCAACAGTCATTCCTCTCGTAATTAGGGCACATATGTGACCCTACAATCTAAATAGAATCACTCATTGTATTTTCGTGTCTGGTCGATTAGCAGTTCGGTGCAGTTATTGACGAGCACCTCACCTCCAAACAAGGAATGAAACGATTAGCACAATGGATCAGTCACATATTTATTTGTGACATCCTACGACTTGTTACACATAACATCAAATACGGAAAACAACTTCTTTTAGGCTACGTTTGGGAACTTGGATTTGGACCCTAGATTTAAAATCCAGGATATTTCAAATCCAAATCTCTTGTTTGGACCTCAAATTGGACTAAGATTTTAAATCAAATGATTTTAAAGAGGTGATTTTGAAGCCCAAATACACGTATTTGAAATCCCACCCTCACCCTTCGTATTTACCAAATCCAGATCCGGACGACGACTCCTCCCCCGATCCCGACTCCTCCTCTCTCTCGTTTCTCAGTGGCGATCTCGAATCTCTCTCAGGTATCTCTCCTCTCTCCTCTCTCCCCTTCTCCTCTCTCCCCTTCTCCTCTCTCGTCTCAACGCAGGTATCTCTCTTCGTATTTTGAAACCCTAGATCTGATCCGACTTGGCTTTTCTATGTTGTAGCTTGTTTTTCTCTCTCTTTCGGTTGCTCTCCTCAAACTTCTGCAGTTTCTGATTGGGATTCAAGGTATGACTTCAATTTTTGCTGTTTTTTAATTTTTAAATTTTTTTTGGTTGTTTTTTTGGGGATCTAAGGATGTTACTATGCTCCAATGGCGATCAATATGGTTGCAAGTCTGATATATGATTTGTGTTAATAATATCCAGAGCAGGGTTTGCATGAACTGTTTGAGATGAACTGTTTGAGATGTAGAAATTTGATTGCAAGTCTGATATGCACTGATTCAATTGAGTTGGAAATTGCTAGATATGTGCTTGGTTGTACACCAGAAACAAGGAAATTGGCCTCATCTAATTTTTTTCCCCTTTCAATTGTGCCTTCATAAATTTCAGGTTGCAGTTTTTAGGTGCTTGGATTAGTGCTAGTGGATTGATTGTCCGTTTTTCTAGGCATGGGATGTAATGTAATGTAATTTAGCCTATATTATCATTTTATTAATAGGTAAGACTTGACTTGTTTATTGGGAAAACAAGCATCTCTAGGCTAGATGGTGAGAATTATGTAGAAAGAATGGCATCATTCTTCTGCTTGATCTTTCCTACAAGTCATCTAAATGAAAAATTAAAAACATCCGTATTAGTGAAGGTACACCTCTGATAACCTTTGCTTGTAGAAGTCTTAGATGTTGGGAGCAATTAGTATCAGACTGTGTGATTTCTTGAAATGCGTTAATATTTTGGTTACCCTTATGCTTCAGGACACAGATGCATGATATTACCTTAAGTTTTATGTCAAGTTCGATCAAGTTCTGTACCCGAAATTCTCCCACATGTTCATTTTTATCTCCCAAATCTTAGTTTATCAAGATATGCTCTATTTATAGTATTTTACATCTTACACCAGGTTGAAAGATTAAGCTTTGATATGTAGCAATACTCAAGGAATTAAGCTCTGGGATTCTGAAATAGATAGTGGTGAGACTCTGAGATGAGAACAAGTAGTTTTGTCAAGCTGAAAGGTTGCAGAGCTTTTCCTGTATGAATGTGGATCAGGAGACCACCTTTTGTAATTAGTCAGTTCTATAAATGACAGCTACTTATTTCTTTTTATGTGTCACTTTAGAGTTTGCTGGTGTTTGCTAGTGTTTCTAAGTTGTCTGCATGTTACAAATGCGAGAAAAATAAATAGGATGTAATAAAAGATCTGACATCATTTATATAAATTACTTTGGTTGTGAAAAAGCTGTGATTTTCTCACTGTATGATATCCTATTGTTATGCTACAAGCCAATTTATTTTTGACTAATTTCGTGCTTCTTGCTGCTGATTTAATTGCATAAAAAGGCATAGCTGGTGGATTTGCATCCCAAGACAATCTATTGCCAGCTGCTGCCATTGGTCTTCTTGGATTGCTTCTACTATTTCAGGTAAAATACAAAGTTTGAGATGAACTTTCTTTTCTTTTCTTTTAAACAGCTTCAATTACCAAAGTAGCTTCTAGTGTTGAAACAAGGAAATTATATGACAGCATACAAAGTAGCTTCTAGTGTTAAATCAAGACACTTGATAGTTAGGACCATGCTCTTAAGCATAGGGCATTATTCTTTGCCTTCAAATTTTTTTCTGTGAGAAGGCATTTTGTCATAATTTTGATATCAGTTTGACGATGAACGTCTGATATCAGTTCAATCATGA